TGAACCTAAAGTGTAAATATACACAAAGTAGTTGCTTACTCACCAAACTTTTATAAATACGTCCTACTAATATGTGATATTTTATTTTTCTATGAATATCAAGATATGAACACAGTTTCACAAAATAGTTTGCTCAATTTGGCGGTTTTCTAGGGAGTCTAGGGAGCTTTTCTTACTTTGCTTTGTCTCATTTCTAGTGCAAATGTCCAACAATTTTTAGATCAAGTAAAAATTTTTACTATGTTTACATGGACATAAGTAATCAAATTATTTGCCTAATCTGAATTAAACAATTATATGATTAAGTTGTTTACATGAGTTGCTTTTTGAAAGTTCCTTTCATGATCCTGTTTGACATGTTATAGCACATAATTTGACTATCGCCATTGCATCACCACGCTATTCACATTATCTCTGGAGTTTCATGTAATTTTTATTTGTCGGCTTTTACAGTAACTGCAGTTTGGCACTTTCACTTTCATCGAGGAACATTTCATGCATGCCCCCGGTGACTAACAAGATATTCGATAAGAGTATGAATGGAATTTGATACCGCATACTGTATCGGAAAAAAACCTCTGCATTTCGTGATGCTGATGCCTGTGGTCCTTCACTGACTCGGTAGGTGCAGAGAATAGTGTCAAACAGCCGTGTGTGTGTGTCTGTATAGATTATCCTGTCATAAAATTTGTCAAAAAGCCCTACATGACAGTAATAGTCTATTACTGTTGATTGCTGTGTTTACATTTCTGTACTGCACTTCAATAATGCGACTAAAATCTACTTACTCCACGTCTTAATCTGATTTATCTTTAGTTTGATTATGATCGGATAAAAATTTATAAAAAAAAATTGCTGTTTACATGGTAGACTCTTGATCAGAGTTTTGTCTTAATCATATTAAAATCGGATTACTGGTGTCCATGTAAACGTACTCAATGTTTTTTTTTCTACTTCAGAAGTTTTTACCTGTTTTTCCTTAAAACATCAAAATTAATAGCCAGTGGGCTAAGTAAAATAACCTCAATTTTACTTTGAAATGTAGATATTTGAACTAGAAACAAGACAAAAAAGTCTAAGTAATAAAAACATTTTGCATAAATTGTATAAAATAAAATTCAATTAATCTTGGATACACCTCCAAACATTTCTTGTACCAAAATGTTTTACTTTCTTGAAATGCTCAAAGGGTGGCACGGTGGCTCAGTGGTTAGCACTGTTGCCTCACAGGAGGAAGGTCGCTGGTTCGTGTCCCGGCTGGGCCAGTAGGCATTTCTCTGTGGAGTTTGCATGTTCTGCCCACGTTGGCATGAGTTTCCTCCGGGTGTTTCGGTTTCCCCCACAGTCTAAAAACATGCACTTTAAATGAATTGGATGAGCAAAATTGGCCGTAGTGTATGAGTGTGTGTGTGAATGTAAGAGTGTTTAGTTGTTTCCCGATGAAGAGTTGCGGCCAGAAGGGCATCTGCTGTGTAAAACATATGCTGGAATAGTTGGTGGTTCATTCTGCTTTGGCCCTAAAAAATAAGGGACTAAGCTGAAGGAAAATGAATGAATAAATGAAATGCTCACAGACATCAGCCTTCACCCAAATGATAAACCTGTTCTATATTATGGTTAAACTTAGCAGTGACTCTGCAAATCACATGCGTTCTGTGGCTCCTGGTCAACTATGATTTCGACTCAACAATGCATATCTTGCAGTGTAACTATTGCAGATTAGCATATTGCAATATCGATGATGAAACGAGATTTAGTATAGATTAGGGTTGCACAATATATCAAGTACTTTCCCCCAGAAAATCTGATATTGGCACACAACATGCTCCAAAGTGCTATACATGAACCATCTATGTAAAAATGCCTTGAAACCAACATGCATCAAAACAAGTCAAGATAAATACATGAATCCTCCATATGATGTGAGAAAAAGTGCTGATGTAGCAAGAGACACAGAGGACTAGTGGGACCTGGAGGATTCTAGAGGCAGATATTTTTAAAAGCAAACTCCAGCTGAGTCTAATTCTCAAGGGCTATAAAGGATAAGACTAAAGGGTGTTGGTTTAGATACGTACAATTGCATTTCCAATGGCTACAAAACTGCTGTGAGCCATTCTCCATTAATTCTTCCTCTGTGATTATATTTCTACAGAAAGTCATTTCTCAAGTCGACATAATTAAATATGTGATACCACCTGAGGCGCTGACGTAACGCTAGAATCCATATTTCAATCTCAAAGAGCACAACTTCACCTCAGGTGTTAATGATAGCCAGAAAAGCATCATTACACCCTTTTCAAATGGCAGAAACATTATTAAAGTAGTTTTAAAATGATAAATCTCCTGAAGGAAGCAGAAAACGCCATTCCCATGTACACATGATCCATACAGGGTGGGAACAGCGCTGCATTGTGGAAGCCAGTTTCTGACTATAAATTTTAAAGGTTTACTCAATAGACTGACCTAGGGCTTTGTATTCCATTGACATCCTCTGGCACGAACGCAGACTAGTTTTAATTATTCAATGGACAAAGACAAAAAGCAACTTTCTAGGTCTTGCGCCATCCTAGAGCAAAGTATCATGAAAAATCTTACATCGCACCACAAAGAAAATACTAAACCAGTCATAGATAACCCTTCTCAAATATCTATGCTTTGTTTAGCTGATGTCCTTCTATAAAAAAAGTTAAAGCAGAGATGTAGGTGACATCTACAAAAAACCACAAGGAGCACTCTCAGATATCATGGCCAAGCAGCAGTTGGCTTGCTTAACGCAATCCAAAAGCTTTTCCCCTCACTCTGGCCCCTTCCTCCAAGTAAATCATACTAGCACATTTCCGTTGAACGCATTAACCAATCTGGGACTCGTACGTCCCCCCAGCGTGGCCAGTTTAGTGGTCTTAAGTCACCAGGCGCCGACTGCATTACCGTCGCCTTTGGTGGCTCAATCTATCCATTGTCTCAAGGGCTTACAGCATATCTGAATGAATAAGAGGGTTAAGACACTTACGGTTAGCGCACTGCATGTGGCTGCACTTAAAAGTTAGTATGACTTCTTCATTCTACATAGAGAAAATGCTGACGTCAAGCTTAAATGAATAAATCTTGCAACCAAAAAGTGACTCTTGAGAGGAAAAAGCCTTGTGGTGAAAGCTACCATTTAGCTGAATGATGATTTGACTACATGAAGTGAAAATATTTACATTAACATAGCTAAACAATTGCACAGACCCAGACCATATTTATAGCGCGCTAGAGTGAATTCAATGCATCCGTTGTGCCATACTTGAGTTTCATGCCCCTATAAAAGCAACCTTTGTAGAGCTGACTTTCTATGCACCCTCAAAAATGACCAGTGGGAACTTCTGCCCTTTTAAAACAGTCCAGATTTTGTTCCAAGGTAAGAGAGGGCCCTCTGACCTGACGCCAGCCAGGAAGGATTCCTTTCTATGTCAGTAAATAACATCGAACAAATTACACCGAACAACCAAGTGGAATGCTCAAAGATCAGGTTTTTAGAAAAGAAAAACCTGTGTTACAAAGTAACACCTGTGTACAAAGGTGTGTACAAAGTGTGTACAAACCTGTGTACAAAGTGTTAACTGTAAGCCATTTTCATTATATACAGTTCAGAAGTATTAGTCCCCTGTATATTTTCCCCTAATTTCTGTTTTAACGGAAAGTAAATTTTTTCCAACACATTTCTGAACATAATAGTTTTAATACCTAATTTATAATGACTCATGTCTTTTGTTTTTGCCATGATAACAGTACATAATATTAAAGGTATAAACTTACACTGGCCTCACGGTTCGGTTTGGTTACGATTATTATGTCATTGATTTGTTTCAATACGATATCTCTGCACATTACGATGCATTGCTTTCCATAATTTAATATTTTACTTCACAGCACAAGAATTATTGTATTAAAATGAATAATTTATACAATATGAGCATTTAAAACAAATAAACAAACTTAAATGTTGTCGAGTGAGTTCTTAAACGCCTATGATTGGTCACGCGTTCAACAGAAAAGGCTGTGAGGGGCTCTAACGCTCTGGCGCTGTTCATCGATGAGTGACACTGATAAACAGCAACAGCGATCACCCATGATAGACACAGAGGAGAAAACTTGCTCTGCAGACAAGCTTGTGCCTGGATCCACAAGTATCGCTGTAACATTACCTCATGACAGCAGGTCAACGGTCCACAGTGAGAAAGAGAGTTTACAGCTTTCATTTGCTCCACAGCATGAAATAGGGGCTTCTGCTGTAACTTGTCAGTGTCAGTGAAAGACTGTACAAAAAAACACACGCAGCGAATTGTGCAGAGTTTCTGCATTTTTTAAGTAGTTGGACCATTGCTCGACCTCACCATAGTAAGGTATCGCAATACAGCGTAAAGCTGATCTATTACCGAACCGATAATGAATTGCTTGCATCTGCATCCCATTGCATAGAAGAAACAATTAATTTTGACACCCATATTTCACTGGCTTTTTTAAAAACTATTGTATAACAGTGGTTTGTTCTGTAGACAGTCGGAAAAAAAAAATATTGCTTGCGGGGACTAATAATATTGAACTTAAAAATAGTTTATAAAAATTTAAAATGGCTTTCATTCTAGCCAAATAATAAAAAAAATACTTTCTCCAGAAGAAAAAATATTATAGGGAATACTGTGATACATTTCTTGCTCTGTTAACCATAATTTAGGGGAAAAAATTTTACAAAATGTTGACTTATTTACAGGTATTTACACATTCAGCACTGGCTTGCACAACTCTCCTTGGGCAAAAGAAAAAAAATCTTTTTAACATGATTTCTCAACATGGTTAAATGGCAGTATGGAAAATTTTACAGTGGCAATATAAACCTCACAACTGTATATCAAAACTCATTATGACTAGCTTGTATTTTGCTACTAACATATTCACTTTTAGTGCGGACAGAGTGTTGCAATACAGCTTGGTATTAGGCTTAAATCAATGGCACTAACCTCCATTATCCTGTCATGAATCTGCAGTCCCCCTTCTTTATCCGCTGCTCCTTTCTCAACAATCTTCGACACAAAGATTCCTTCATTGGAAGTGCCATCTTTATTATCCTGCAATTTAAAACCAAACAATATTTAGCCAAAGAAAATAGGGAATTCTGAATGATTATCCAATAAAACTCTAAAAGCAAAATAATTTTATTGAGGTTAAATAAAACTAAAATGATTTACAAAAAAGACACAAACGCTCCAGACATTTCCAAAAACTAAATAATTGTTTGCAGATGTAGAAAGCAGTGAGCTCTATTGATACGCCTTTCTGCAAATACTCTGTCAAATAAAAGACATGTTAAGTTTTCATGATTGAAGACAACAAAAAGATGGTTGCCATTTATCATATAAAAATATTACCAGGGCAAGTAGGTTTTATGTAAAGCCCCTAACAAAATATTGCTGAACCAACCTCTTAAACCACATCAAACCACATTAACTGTGCCATGTTGTGTGATACTGTGCTGTAATTTTTAATGGAAACCGCAGGAAGTCAAACTGTGAACTCTACAGTTAATTACTGGAAGCTCTTCCTTCTCCGTTAAAACAACAACAACAACAACAACAACAACAACAACAACAACAACAACAACAACAACCTTATTTATCGAGAATCCTTCAGGATCATATCCCAGCAATATAATTAGTTATGCTGTAGAATAGCATGACGTTAATTATTTTCCAAGTCTAAAGTATCTTACACAGGTAGCAAATAATTCTGGCCCAGATTTCGTTTAAATCTGGCACAGCAGGCATTCATCCTGCACTGGTATACAGCATGTGGGCCAAATATGGCCCTGGATTGGAGGTGGCACCATCTTTAGGACGGCACACAATACTTAGGCCAGATGTAAAATGTAGTATTTTTGCTCAGATGTTAATAATTGATATGTGGGCCATGTAAGTTTGGCCCATCCTGACCCATAGCATGTGGGCCACGCAAAAACTGATTGTGTTGGCCAGAGCTTGACCAGAGATATTTAGCTATGTGGGTACTTATTGAACATCAGTACACAAATAGTTGTTAAAATAAAGATGATTTTCTCAAAAAACTTTTAAAAATATGATGCAATGTTGAATATTTCAATAGAGATAAATATTAAATTAAAATAAAACATTTATAAAACAATGGTTGCAATAAATAAAAATTTAAATATCTCATTGTAACACATTCTACATAAGATTCTCATCTCTGTAATAAATGGTGCCTAAAAGTTTGGACGAAATTAGATGATTTTGCTTCCTACACTCTCAGAAATAAAGGTACGTGATCTGTCACTGGGGTGGTACCTTTTCAAAAGGTACACATTTGTACTTAAAGGGTCCATATTGGTACCTCAAAAGTATATATTTTAATTCTCAAAAATTAAGAGGAATGCTTTTGTACTTTTTAGGTACTAGTTTGTACCCTTGAGGTATTAATATGGAGCTTTTCAAATTCAACTAAAATCAAATCAAGTCACTTTTATTGTCACATCATCAGCAGCACGTGTGCTATAATAAGTGAAAAGCTTAGGTGCTGGCTTCAGACAGTGCAAAATGCAGACAGCGCAAATACAACGACAGTGCAAAATACAACAGCATACTCCCCAAAAAAACAGGATAATGTAAAATTGCCAGTGTTGACAGCGATATGTACAATGAATTGGTGTACCCATAGCTGTAGGCAGCATTGTTTGAAGTATGGATTGGTTAAAGTGCAGTGCATGCTACATATAAACAAGGGCCTCCCCGTCGTACCTTTTAAATAGGTACTACGCAGTGACAGCTCATGTACCTTTATTTCTGAGAGTGTATATGCCTTTGCACTGATGACATTTAAAATGCTGCAGCTGACTAAGTTTTAGAAACAGATCTAAGGTCCTACAAGCAGACAGGATGGCTGGCATGTCAAACATTTGCTAGGGAGGGGTCATGGCCACGTTGAAGTAGTTGTACAGTTGCTAAGAGACACAGCCATTTGTGTCACTCATTAGAGACTGACCTCTTCCCCTTACTTTAGCATAAACTTAGCCATAGCAATTCGAGCTATAACAGTGGTGCATTTTTATAAATAAATAAAGCCCCCTCATTGTGACGAGGCTACATCTGGGTTTTAGAAGAAGCTCTGGAAAGTTGGCTCTTGTAAAAGTTTCCCCATGCAAAGTCCAGTTTAGACCAAAGTACGTCACATTTCTATTTCAGAAGAACCACAAACAAACACTTCTTAAAGGGCTTGGTGCTCATTCACACCGATATGGATGCCACAATTACTACTTAAGGGTGGACCAACAGAAGTGGCACTGTTTGTAAAAGATATAATTTGTGTCTGTATTTTCCTAGCTGCCCTTTCTAATTAAACTAAGTCATTCATTGACACACTAATATTCTGAAACAATATAATATTCTGTTTTGGAGAAAACTAGGTCAAAATCCAGCTAATGGCATAAAGGTATCTAAGAGCATGTAGTTTTTTTTTTTAATTTATCCATTTAAAATATACATAATCTGGAATTCTAAAACCTTTTTTCCCATTACCAATAATTGGAGATAATTAAGGTAGTTTTCAGTAGTTGAACAACACATTTGCAAGGGCTCTGCTGTTGATTAATGCCACTTTATTTGCTGGTAAACAAATTAAAGATTTAACCCTGTCCTTATTTTGATTGCTTTGCTTTACAAATGAACGATGCTACTATTAGATTTTTGCATTATTAATAAATATCAATTAATTATTAGCTTTTTAACATCTTACACAAACATCCTGCAGTTCCCTCATCTTAGTTTGACAAACTGTGAAAAATTTATTAATATTTGAAAACAAGGAGTGAAAAAGGAGAGTTTAACCAAAGGTAGTTGTTTAAATCTTTTTTTAACTTACCACACATGGCCTTCCACCAACAATATTGAAACCTAAAGATCCAGACTCACGATGGAGTATAGCTGTGACACTTTTGGTCTCTCCACCCTGTAAACAGATGCAATGGTATAAATTACTCAATTCACACACACACACACACACACACACACACACACACACACACACACACACACACACACACACACACACACACACACACACACACACACACACACACACACACACACACACACACACACACACACACACACACACACACACACACACACACACACACACACACACACACACACACACACACACACACACACACACACACTATATAAATATATATATACTGAAATGTATTTAACACTTTGTATATAGCCACTTGACTACTTTTTTGTAACGACAGCTTTAAGACACCTATGGAGAATGGAATTGCATGCATTTCTCACATAATGTAAAAATCTAGGCGATTCTGTAAGTCTCATCCATCAACTCTGATCCTTAGTTCTTATTTTCTATTGGATTCAGGTCAGGTAATTGGCTGGGCCATTGTTGCAGCTTTATTTTCTTTTCTGAATCCAATTAAGAGTTTCTTCGGCTGTGTTTGGGGTCATTGTCAAGCTGAAATATCCATCCTGGTTTTAACTTCATCTGAAGCAGCTAATGTAAATTTACACTTAACAACAGACAGGGTTGCTTTCTATTCTAACTACTAGCTGCTGTCTGGACTTTACATACCTTTTTACACCTTCCTTTCTTCATGTGTTTAATGCTTTTTTTTCCTGTGTCATTTCATTTCATTACACAAATTAAATTCAAACATAATCAGTCTATATACATTATTTTGGTTGTTACTGATATCTAATGACAATTTTCAGTCAACGGTCGGCAACTTTAGAAATATATTCTGAATTCTGAAAATTAAAGGTATAGTGATAAGTGACCTGCTTGTGTAGGTAAATACACACACACACACACACACACACACACACACACACACACACACACACACACACACACACACACACACACACACACACACACACATATATATTATAAAATATATATCTATAATAATAAATACATATATTTATTCTAGCCTAAATAAAACTAATAATACTTGCTCCAGAAGAAAAAATATTGTCAGACAGACTGTGAAAATTTCCTTGCTCTGTTTAACACCATTTGGGAAATATTTAAAACAGAAAAAAAAAACAATTCAAATATACACACAGAATAAAAATGTTAATGCTTTGAAATTATTCAAAAGTTCCATTAGGGACATGGAAACATTTGAGTTTCCGAACTTAATATTTCCAGTCTAGCCATCGGGTGTGGGTTTTATAGCACAAGCTCTTAAATCATGCGCAGGTATCACGGTTAAGCTTTGACTGTGACCAAAAGTGGTGCGTGACCAAACAGGTTCAGTGGTGCACCTGTTATAGCCATTAAACATCATGTTCTGCAATCTACATAATTCTTCTCAGCTTAAAGCATCTTGAGAAAGGAGCTGCCAAGTGCCTGGCGGCTTTAAGGGTTAAGGCCTTGTTCCCTGCTCACTTGTTCTGAGTATATTAATACATATGCTGCAATCGGCTCTCTCAACAGATGAATGGTTGAATGCGGAGAAATGAGTTGTGTCAGCATTTTATTCCCTGCTTAGGGTGGCACTGTATAGGATCAGCGACTAATGCAGCTGTCATTTCTGTGCGCCACAGAATACAGTGTCTAAATATAATACAGACATCAATGGCATCCATGTACAGTGTCCGCTTTACTATCTTTGCTGAGCGCATGCAATGAACGTCTCCTACTGAGGAATGCACCCCGCTGTACCAGGTCATGGGAACAAGTCCCATAATTCCACAGGAAACAATGTCCGCAGATAGCAACGGCATCATGTAAAATTAATTATCAGTTTTGTTTGCTTCCGTCACTTCTAATATGATTCAACATGATTAAATTCCCAAAAAACACAATACATTTAATTTTGAAAACAAACAAATGCATAAAAATATATTTTATCCTGGAATGTTCTAGTGGTGATTTGGAAGCTCTTGTGATATCTTTTTTTTTCACCAGAGCAGCTGGATCAACAGCCCAGCGTTCATCAGACAGGCCCAATCCTGCAAATGTCAGCTCCCCATCATCGCCCTCCTTTTCCCAGCTCTTCACTGCTTCAACTCACTTGACTGATGAGCCATGTGATGGGAACAGCAAGAGAGACTACATTCCCCAGCAGGAAGGCAGTCACTGGCACTAAGACATCATTCAGAGCCCATAAACATGTTCGCTCACTAGGAGGTTGCCTTAGGATCTTGTGCTCCTACATAGAGTGGTCAAGGGAGGTTATCTGTCACAAGTGTAACTCACTGACATTTTCCATGCTCCGACTGTGTCCTGAAGTGAGAATATATTAGAGCTAATCTGAAGGGCATCACACATGCCAGAAGATGTCACAGTACTTGATTTAAGGCATGGGAATGTGGATGCTTGTTACTGCCACAAAATAAAACAGCACAGAATTGTAGTTGTGACAATTCTGATATTTTCCTCTCAGTTACAAGTGTACATCTTACAATTCTGAATTAAAATCCTGCAAATCTGACTTTTTTTTTATATAAATTCACAATTTTGTTGAAAACTTTTGTTATACAACTGATGCTTATTCTCACAAATTAATTGCAAATGTATAGACACTCCCCCAATTTTTTATTTATATCTTACAATTCCAACTTTATATTTTGTTTTTTCTCTTAGCGCTTAATATTTTGGGGGTAACTCCTAACTGCTAATTTGGAGAAAGCCAGGGGAGCAAGTTTGCTATTTACTTTCTAAAAATAACTTGCTTCAATATAAAAAAAACATAAAGCATTTAAAATACTTAACTCAGTACTAGTGAGGTTTCAGTTCATGTTTAGAGCCTAAAGTACAATGGTTTTCTGTTTGAACAACACAATCAGGCCTACTGCATCTGACTAGTTATGAATAAACTACAGCCCCATTGTCAGGGGGGTTCAATAGACCCAGAAAGGTCCAGAATTTTTCCCATACAGTATGTGAGCTCATTTTGACGGCGATGCCATAATAAATTGTGCAAATATCCCATCGAAAAAGGTTTTTGCTGCAAGCGGAATGTTGTCGCTCCCACGCGCGTGACTGAGGAAAGTCGGATGTGTCAGCCAGTTTATTTAAAATTATTGATATTTAAATGACAATATTTATTTGTTGTAAATAAAATTTGTTATTTGTTGTAATTATATGTGATGTAATAAATTTGTATTTAAAAATAAGTAATCCCATATTTCTTCATTCTAAATCTTCAGGAAATGTTTTTGGTACATCAAAAAGTCTGGTTATGATACCATCCTACAAGCTAATCCAGCAAACAACTAGTGCTTAACATGTCACAAAAATCCAACCTGTTTAAACCTCATAATTAAATATAAAATAAGGTGAATAACTACAAAAAGGTCCACTTTTTGAGAAAAAAAAGAACCCCCCTTTTCACCAGGCTGGCTACAGTTGTGAACTACTGCAACTTCATCCAATTTTATTATCTCATGGATAAGCTAGGCCTACATTTTCAAGTATAGACTGCAAATACAATACTTACATTAATAGACATTTCCTTGGTTTTTCCAGTGATGAGCTTCAAGCAGCATTGATAGGACAGAAAGCAACCAAATTTAATAAACGTAACCGTTTTCTACAGTGAACAGTCTAAACTAGAATGCCTCAGTAAAAACTAACAAAACATACATTTCTGAAATGTTTTTTTTTTTTGAGGGCTGACAAGACTTCTGACAAACCAAGGCAAACATTTCGACCAATCAAAATCTTTGATTCCACGTCTCGTAGGCTATGTCGTAAACTGACTCGTATTATTAAAAATAAAGCAAGTACATATTGATTCGACATAGAGTGTAAATATATACACATAATTAATACTTAAATTCGTAACATTTTTAGTTTCTTATGCAGATGGAAAATTTTACTTTTAAAGTTGCTGATTTCAATTTGGTTACTGCCTCTCTTCCCGCCCAAAGAGGCGTTTCTTTTTGTAGCAAAATGGGAAACCCGAAGTGAAGAACCAGCTGAAGGATTGAACTGGTTTGAACACTGACGGGAGACGACAACCGCTCCGCTCCACTTACAAACAGTAATCCAGTCCGGGTTTAAGTGTGCAAATTGCTTTGATTAGTGCAACATTTGGAGACAACCACTTTTCAAACAATTGTCGTTTGGGGAGAAGGCATACACGAGGTCGGTGGGCAATTTTTGCCTAAAACGTAAGTCACAGGATGTAAATTAATTGTTTAAGCCTGTTTCTCTAACTAAAAACCAATAATCATCACACCTAGACTCTATCACTTAAATGAATATTTAAATGAAAAAGAACCATAAAAGTCGAAATAAACAGATGTGTCAGCGTGTAGAAAACCAAACCACTTTAGAAATCAGAGAAACATTGGCACATATTGTACCAGAAAAGTATGTAAAACAACCTTCATGTTTTGAAGACACCATGTACAGTTTGTTTTTACGAAAAATAAATGTATAGAAAATGAAACGCACACTCCAGCTTTCTTACTACAACCTTTCACAATCCCTTTTGGTTGGTAATTATTTATATGCAGGATGACAGTAGTGGTCATTACTTGCTTTTACCACAGTTATAAAACAGTGGTTACCACGGTAAATATTTGTAAGCGTTATTAACCCCCTGCCATCTGTGTTCTCTTACCTTACACGGCGGACTCGGGGAGAGACTCTTGGATAAGGAGTCAATCCGGGCGCTGTATTCGGTGAATTTCTTCTGATACTTCAGCGCTGTCATCTGAAGCTCGTTGTGAACCGCCGACAGTTGCGCTAAAAGTGATTTCTCTCTTTTAGTGGACTTCAGAGCTTGTTTCTTGAGCTCCTTATCCAAGGTGACAACTTTCCCTTGCAGCGCGCCGTTGTGCGCTTTGAGAGCTTTCAAGCAGCAGTGGTTGTCCAACTTCTGCTCTTTATGAGTGAGCATCAATCCGCATCCACTCTCGCATATCCCGACCGCTCTGTAATCGCACGATTCACGCATGTGAGCATCCATATCTTTCAGGTTGAGCACCTCGCTGCAGCCCTTATTCCTACATTTGGCAGGGGAATAATCGCACATCTCCGCGTGCTCCGCCAGATGCTGGAGTTTGACGATCTTCTCGCAGCCCCGAGCGTGATTGTCACATTTGATGTCTAACTTTAATATTAGGTTTTTGAGAGGGAGGACGTGGTTGAGCTCTTTTGTAGAGATCCTCTGGCATTTGACTGGGCAGCTGCTCTGCTGGACGACCCAAGGCAGCACACAGCCGGCGCAGAAGACATGACCGCACGGGGTAGTGAGCGGATCCTCCAAAACTTTATTACACAAGTTGCATTTGAAGTCTGGGTCCACAGCCCCCTTGAAACGATCCAACTCAAATCCCATTATTATTATTGTTTTTTTATGGAATATCCAAAGCAAGGCTCCCACAGAATAGCGCAGGGGTTTGATCACTCTTCGGGTTAAGTCATTAGAAGAGCTCAGAGAAACTGAGTAGACCAGTACGGGCACTTCTCCTGACTGAACTAATTGCCTGAGACTTCCTATGGGGGAGAGAAGTGTTGCAGATTTGGGTACCGTAAGGATCAGAAAAACTGCGCACTCAAGTTGGCCAAGTAGCAAAAAGTTTTTGCTACTTAGTGCATACTTTAAATATATGGAGGTTGTGCAGTTAGATAACAACTTTTGTTTGTACAGTGATTTATAATGCAAGCAGACGTTTTAAATCAAACATTTCATGTTGTTTCTTAGTTTTAAATAGTAGCTTTTTAAAACCATTTACACTATACTGTTTTTTAATTATACATTTTTAAACATTATCAAATAATGAGTTCATAGTTTTATTTGTATAAATGATAAATAAAAAAATAAATTAACAAGTAATAATAATTTGACAACACATTTTAATAATAAAAATAAGCAAAATAGTTAAATTATTATTAATAAATTATTGATATAACATTATTAATTAATAACAATAATAATGATAATAATAAGTTAATAATAAAATGTATGTGTAATCATTTTATATGTAGTCATAACAGTATACATTGTGTAAACATAATAATTTATGTTTAAGTTAAAAACAAAGTAGTTTTTAATTGATAGGTTTTTATTTCTATTTATTTTATATGTTATTGTTTACAAAAATATTTTACACTGTTGTATTAAAAGCCTGCGTTAGTTATAAATTATTGTAATACACTATAATATATATTATATGCACTATATTTTAAACACAATAAATTAATCATATAATATAAATATAATATAATCAATTATAAATTAATTTAAAGTAATTTAATTCATGTACCTGTGCATTATAAATTATTTTTAATACACCATAATAGATAATAGTGCTCAGCATATGTAAGTACACCCCTTATAAATCTATATTTTAAATTCATATTTTTAATGGGAAACTATACAATATTATACTTGTGCATTAGATTAGTCAGTACTGAAGCCAAGTCTGGAGCTTATTTAACAAAAAAACTTACAATAATGGTCAAAAAACAAGTACATCCAAATTTTTCACATTTAATTTCTAAATACGTTTGGTGACAAAAATTTTATTTTAATAAATATATCTGTTTAATAAATCTGTTTTGTTTAAATGCACCAAAAATACATTGCCTATATTCACTGAGAAATATTGATATTGGAAATGGGGTGTACTCAATTATGCTGAGCACATGTATATTTATATATAGATCGATATATAGTGCACTTTTGTATTGTACACTACAAGTTAAATTTATAAAGGTGTTTTTTTATAGGCTACATTAACAAACATTGCAAGCAAATTTGTTTAAAGAAAGAAACTATAAGAGATAGTATTAATTGGGTGCAGATGTTTAAGAAACAACAAGTCTCATATCAGTTACTTCTTAATTCAACTTTAAATGTATCTCAAGCAATATAAAACATTACTAATAAAAAAGGATTAACACAATTCGCTAAATAAAGCTAGTACTGGCAACATGTTTTGTGTGCTTATGCAGAGCAGCTGAGAAGCTCAAACATGATTACAGATTTCAGACTCAAAAAGCCCCAAAGCTAAAGATGCTTCTACACATCTCATCTTTTTTGCATGAATGGATAATGTTGCTTCTTAGGGGGGGGGAAATAATCATCTGTCTGAACAGTTTTCTAAAAAGTAAATGGGGGCTTGTGAGCGTATGATTTGTCTTAAATGTGTGTTTGTGTCAAGTGTAGTTTGCATATAGAGAATCCTGGAGTTTAAATACAGCTCATTTAAATAAGGACATTTTCCATCTCGGTAGGAAGTAGCACGGTCATAAAAGCATTTGAATTGTAAATGACGTAGAGCCACAGACAGGGTCACTGGCAGCTATGAGCAGCGAAGGGACAAGAAAGGCTTTTACTTTTGCAGCTTAACTATCCTTTGTGAACAGCGTCCGTCTCTTCTGCCGTTTACTGATCTGAAGACGAGAAGCTTTTTTTTTTCTCATCGATGCTCTGTGAAATCATGTTAATTTTTGTGCCGTGACATAGCGATTCAATCCACATGTGGATTATTAAATAACAGAGCTCTCAAGTTCATTACTGACTTCAGGGTATTGAAGAAAATAAAAGAACAAAAAGGTTAAAATGTGTTTGCAATCATTTCTTTCTGGCGTTCAGATGAAAATATGCAGTTCAGAAAAAAAATGTGAGTAGACTGGATGTGCAATTTGATATTGCCAATGATAGAAGCTTTAAGTAATCAAATTATTGCTTCAGAGGAGTCGAAGATATTCAAGAAGCATCATGGGTGAATCATATATGGCTATACTGTATTGAGAACAGCAATGGTGATTTTTCAATATGCAGTTGAAGTCAATTATTAGCCCTCCTGAATTATTAGCCCGCCTGTATAGTTTTTCCCCAATTTTTGTTTAATGGAAAGATTTTACACATTTCTAAACAATAGTTTTAATAACTAATTTTTAATAACTGCTTTCTTTTAGCTTTACCATGATGACAGTAGATAATATTTGAGATTTTTTTCAAGATACTAGGGTTGCTGAGAGAGCTTAACGTGCTGCAATTTCAGAAAACATGTGCAATTACAAATTTCAGTTTGACAGCAGCACACATGCTGCATATCGTCACAACACAGACCCATTTTTTTTAAAGCGTTTGCATTTTCCCACAATGCAGAGAATTGATAAAACGCATTGCATTTTCTCACAATGCAAGCAATTGACAAAAATGTGCTGCATTTTCTCACAGCACAACGAAAATGTTTCAAAGAGACCCTAAAATGTGACGTATATAGATTATGGTTATTTAGGCTAATAAATTCTAAAGACACAGGAGACAGGATATTAAAATAAACAATAAACTCATCTTTCAAAGACCACCTACAGCTTCACTGACCAAAAGTTGCGGCACAGAGGTGTTCGTCACATTTTTGGGTCTTTTTGAAACATTTCTGTTGTGTTACGTTCTTTTTCTTTTCTGAGAAAATGCATCGCGTTTTTTGTAAATTGTTAGCATTGTGAGAACATTTTGCATTGTTTGAAATGTTTATTAAAAAATGTGTCTGCATTGTTATGATTTGCAGCATGTGTGCTGTCAAGCTGATAATGATCTTCTCAGTTTGCTGGCATTTTTCGAAAGTGTGTTCTTAAATTGCAGCACCTTAAGCTGTCTTGGCCACGATAAGATACCAGTATTCAGCCTAAAGTGCGATTTACAGGGTGTCCATTAAGTCAGGGTGTCCACACAAGTTTCAAAAACAGAATTTTAGGCCTTAAAAAGTCTTATTGTAATATTGTGTTGTAGGTCTTAAATCTCAATTCTCCTTTGTTCATGAATAGCCAGGGGCCTAGCAATTGGGGGGATGGGGGGAGGGGGGGTATGTCCCCCTCACTTTTAGAGACAGACCATTTAGAAACAGGTGATAAAGAATGGAAACTTTTGGATTTCATACAACTGTCCCCCCACTTTTAAAATGTACAGTACGCCCCTGTGTATAGCTATCCAATCCATCTCAATAAAACTTAACTTTTTATTTAACTGTAATTATTTTCAACTGTATTTACCATAATGGTTTAATTATTTTCTGTAAAATAATTTTTTTTTAAAGTTCTGCGTGTATTTACTGCTGAGGACACTGACCTGGACAGGTTGTTGTGCATACATTTAGTTTATTATAGTTTTTAAAATGTTTAAAACATTTGTCCTTTTTCATTTTAAAGAAAGTTTGTGTTGAAAAAAAAAAAAAAACGTGTATGTTTACGACAAGAGCTTGCTTGTTTTGACACAATATTTAAAATATTTTGCTTAGAAATATCTAAAATATTTGAGAAAAATGTTATTGTATTACAATATTGTATTATTATATTATTAAATTGTTATTGTATTAATAAATGTAAAAAATATCTTTTGTGAAAGGGAAAAAAATCTTTTTTATCTGGGCATTCAAATAGCTCCTTATTTCTTTGACAAATGTCACAAGTCTTAAATTTAACTTGGTAGAACCTGCATTAACCATGAATTTAAAGGGTTAATTAGACAAGTTAGTGTAATTAGGCAAGTCATTGTATAACGATGGTTTGTTCTGTTTACAATAAAAAATAGCTTAAGGGGGCTAATATTGACCCTAAAATCATTTTTAAATAAATAATAACTTCTTTAATTCGAGCTAAAATAAAGATAAGACACATAAGAGTTTCTCCAGAAATAAAAAATGTTATAGGAAATATTGTGCAAAATATCTTGCTGTTAAATATCTAGGAAATATTTTAAAAAGAAAAAAAAAATCACAGGAGGGTAAATACTGTAATTTTGACTTGAACTGTATGTCGCATATAAAACAACCAAAAAAGTTCCTTGATAAAAGATCCTTTTATTTATTGAACTTTTTTGCTGACTTTAGAAGTGGTCCTAACCTTGATCTGTCATTAATGTCTTAGTCTTGATTTAACCACCTGCCAAAGCTATTATTCAACCGGATCATGTGAAAGCACATAATTACATTATGGATGCAGAGTTTGGATACACATCATTAAGTTGTAATACGAAACATTCGGAATAAACAATCGTCACTGAAGTGCACTTACTAAAAACATAACCCGTGTAAATTAGGAAAGAACTCAAGTCTTGTTTGTTTGTTGGCTGTGGCATGGAACTCGGATGAGTTAGATCGAGCTGGGTTATAAATAAAGATCATTTGTGATAAGACTTGATTTGGCTCTTTGACTTCAGGCTGTATTGGATGTTACTGAACCATTTCTCATGCTCGACATTTCTTCCATCTTAGCTCACGTCTAAGGTTTTTCACCCCCACCCTTCTAGATAACATGAAGTCATCTATTTAAGTCAAAAGAGAACATCAGATTTGTGCAGTTATGGTTTTAAAAATGGTGGAATTT